AATTTTTAGGGGCTACTGATAATAGTGTCGCGGAAGCCGAATATCAATTAACCAAAAACAAAAAGTTAGCTGAATGGACAAACAAAACAGAAACTAAAGCGTTTTGGGAGTGAAGTGAGACAATTTAAAGATGCCTCATCAAACAGTCCATTCTGTAAGCTATTTTAAGTGCCATGTCTGCCATGATACTACACACTCGAATGCTGACGTAGAAAGAGTTTTCAGTGCTAGGAATTATATCAAATCTAACCTTAAACACAGGATGAAATTTGACCTCTTAAATGCTATCGTGCCATTAAAATTCGGCCTGATGAGACTAGGGAAATAAGCCTACTGTTCCACTTATAAAGAAATTTGAACAGCTAAAGCATACCAGGGTCATTTTGGATCTGAAGCTTCAACTTCATTATCCAAGCTAAGTTTATTCTGTGGATCTTGTGAGGCAGACATCAGTGAAGGTGAGGACATGATTATGTAGGGTAAGTCATAACAAAAGCTGTGTAATTTTTTGACTTTTTCAATTTGGATGTTTTTTCGAGATCTTTTCCACGCAGATTTAGATCTTTTTAGATATTTTTTGACACCGTTTTGGATATTTTTTGTCAAAGAAAAGTGGCAACACTGGCACAGACTATCAATACCAGCGGTTGTTGTTTTAATGGGAGTTTTAATCTTTTAAGTTTTTAACATTAACTTGTAGTTTTCTTGTGTATTTACAATTTTTACAGTAGCAGAATCAGAGCTTCAAAGTTACCGCTTGGTGATTTAAAACATTTTGATCTCTAACTGTGGACCACACAGGCAAAAATTCATCGTTCTGCTTGAAAAAAGTTGCTGGAAGAAGAAACTTTGAAAACTTTTTTTTTTTAATTTCTGGCCTGGAAACGTTTTTTTTTTTTACTGCATTGATAAAATTGTAAACCTGTCAGAAGAAAGACTAGGGTAAAAGCTGTGTAGAAATGATTTGTGACCTGGAGTTGTTGTTAACATTAAATAAACTAGAAAAAGTGCCGCTAGATTGACAGATATGAAACAGACAGGCTTACTCATCTGTATCAACTATCTGAAGTGAATGAATTGCATAGCCAGTTAACATTTTTTAAAACTTTTAAATTGTTGACTTTTACTTTTAAACATTGCAAACTTAAACTAGACTTGCAGACTCTATGAGTCCTATGAAACAACAGAGTTTGTAGACGGAATGTGAATTTGCTTTTAATTGAACAAACCCCCCACAACAGTGTTATTATTGCAATCAGATCAAGCTCTTTTGATTTTAAAACCTTTATAACTTGTCACCATTTTATGGTAAGTTGTAATTATTATTACCAGTACTATTATTATACTGACACTGTCTTAAATTCATAAATTGTATTACATTTTAATTACCCTGCCAGCTTGTGAGGGAGATCCTAAAGATAATTCATCAACACTTCTGCATAACCCTTTTTAAAAAAAACCATTGGCTGTAACTATGTTCGCTGTTTACCATCTCCTACATTTGTATGTGAATTAATGAGCGATTAATTTAATGTTGTAATGAGATCGGGGAAAATAGACAACTATTGAAAATTATGCAAACAGTCTCTCCAGCTTGTAGTGGTGGTAAAGGAACTTGCATGGCCCCACGACTCACTCACAAAAACTACTAAATGTAGCACAGCTACTGCAGGGATCCCTGAGTTGAGTCAAGAATTGACATCACAGCACTCAGGGCATTCCCATGCATGCTCCGTCCTCATCTTTAGCAGCCGGCGCAGAGTTCCATTACTGATGGTACCGGTCACAATCTGGTTAAAAGTCTGCCTTGCCTTTCCTCTGAGTGTTAGTGAGCCGGCCAGACCCTCTGGTTACACCCTGGTGCCTCATTCTCTCCAGGCAATAGTAATCTTCTTTCTCTGCTGATTCCGTTGCTTGTTCCCAAAGGGCCTTGACCACATCTGCCTTGTCATGTATCAGTTCACCACCCAGTGGTGCGGATCCAGCCAATCTGTCTTCCTGTTCATTACCCACCATGGCGGCATAGCCTGGAGAAAAGATCCAAAGCATGCCAACCACCCGAGACCTTTCCAGTGAAGCTAGCTTCAGGGATCTCTAAATTCTTTTAGCCCTAAACAACGTACTACATGGGACTGCATTTACAAGCGTGCAGCAGTCAACATATTATACTTGTACATTTGTGTTTAGTCAGAGCATAGTGAGACACATAATACACAAGGCCCCTCCTTCAATGGTTATGTATTTAGCCCCTATGAATGTAGTATAAAAAAAAGGTAAAGGTAAAGTCGGGAGATGTGAACCAACGTCATTGCATGTGGTTACAAACCATAAATGCTCTGTCACCAGTACGGACAGCTGATAAGAAACTGTCCGCCTGTGTCGTCGTCCACACGAAACTCTAGCTACAGTAATGTTCCTTCATTTACCCCAGAGTGTTAACTCTGGCACCCATCTCCTAGAGCCTGGGTGAACCCCGGTAACCGCCAGGTTTCGAACACCGGCCGTGAGCTGCAACGAGTTGCAGCTGGATTTGAAAGCGAGTTTCCTATCGACTGCTTTAACGCGCCCCCCCCCCCCCCCCCCCCCCGGATGGGTAGTGTACCCATGTATATCCATATTGCTGTCATTATTGCCTCTTGGCATCAGCTGTGACCTTCTGGGACTGACAGATTTAAGTAGGTTCAGAGAGGGATCAGTCTCAAGTAGGCACTAATACCTACCAGCTTGCAGTTAGATTTAGGACAGCCACAATCTGTTATAAGCAGACCTAGAAGAAATGCCTGTTGAAATAACGTACAGGCTTTAAGTTTGCAACTCACTTTAGAACAGCGGTTCTCAACCTGTGGGTGGCGACCCCTTTTGTGGTCTATAAATTATAGGACTAGCCCTATATGCCCAATTCACCTGAAGGTGTGGCAGAATGTCCTTTTTACTGTAGCCTAAAGGCTAGACACTTGCATACTGCCCCAAATGTCTTAGATTCAAAGTCACATTGTGTCAGATTTTCTCTTCAGAATTGACCTTGACTGCCAGGTTGACCCAGCCTTAAATGCTTACAACCTGGGAAGTAAAGGTGGCTAGCATGATAATGATTTACCACATAGTCCTTATAATGCTGATTGGTCCATAAACAGTGTGACTGTAGCATCATATGCCCGATAGACTAGTGACGTATTCAGTTTCCTTGATTTTACCTTTCAATATCTAATTAACTTGGAAGGGTATGAGTTGGACTTTTGGTCATGTTAGTTGATTCTTTTAGACTTGTCATCTGCCATTATCCTTAAAAAAATTTGTTTTATGCCCCATCTGTTTGTTGTATATCTTCTTCTTATTCTTCTTGTCTCTACTCCTGGAATACCTTGGGGTCTCTGTGCAAGAAGAGATCTCTGGAGTGAGCCCTTCTTTTCACTTCATATATCTATTTCTCCAAATTATTTCGGTGAAGACAGTACTTTTGTTGAACTGTCAGAGATGTGTATTGATGAAATGATCTTCTTCTTAAAGTCCTTACCATGTGGCGTTGGTAGCCATGTCTATCCATAACCTTCTGTCTCAAGTACTTTTAGTCAGCTCTGACATGGATGATCCTCCCGTCATGATGTCCAGCATGTTTTCTCTTGGTCTCCCTCTGTTTCCATCCAACTTTCTTCCTATTGCATTGTATTCCAGTTTTCCCAGTTTTCTCCTTCTCATCACATGACCAGACAATGTAGATTGTCTCTTTCTGATGTGGGCAGTCAGTTATCTTCATGAGTTAGTTTCTTTCAAGACATCTTCATTACTCGTTTTATTTGTCCATGATGTTCTCATGATATGCTTATAAAACAACAACTGCAGCTTCCTAATAATTAATCACTAATTTACCAACTGTACATGATTCACTTCCATATATCAGGACATGATTTATTATAGCTTTTGAGAATTCTCTTTCTCGTCTCAATTGAAAAGAAAGATTGCATAGAAGAATGCATAACACAGATGCTGGGTAGCAAATTACACCACAGTGCAGGCAGTCTGGAAACTCAGGGGCCGGTTTGACATTGAGAATGTGATGTAACAGTGACATGAGTCCACTTGACAAACAGTACTTGCAGTCTGAAAGCTACTGGACGAGCCAAAATGTTTTTATGATGTCTGAAACACTAAAAACCTTCAGATCTGTCTTGGAGTGCATGGTATAAGTTATGTGGACAGAGAATTTTGCTTTGCGTAAAGTGGAGATCATCTATTTTCAACTATTTTAGTTTTGACCGTTTTCTCAACCCCCAAAAAAAAATATATATATATAAATAGACACACACACATGCATGTATGTATGTGCACCCGCACACACAGACACATACACACTGACAATCATGAGTCCTATGTGCCCAAGGAAGTAAGAAAAATAATTATTTTATGCGATCTAAGTAGCAAATAATTTTGTTGTACATAATTAATTCATTGTCTTCAAGTGCCATTATATGTTATACAAGGCTGACAGTCTGTTTCTTCATTCCGTTCTGTTATGTGCAGATATATATATAGGCAACCATTAGTTCCTGGGGACCATAGTTGTGCTGCTGGTTTCGGGAATAGCATCTGCTATGACTGTAAAGTACAATAAAATCATGTGTTTGACTACACTGTGATGTCATGTGCTTAACACTGTTGACATCCTTATCAACAGTATTGACAGGTTACAAGATAGTGGCATGGTTGTTGTAATTTCTGTCACACTTTTAAGGTTTTTATTTCAAAGCACCCCCCACTCTCACCTTCCCCTGTAGAATAAAATAACCTCTTCATTGGCTACTGACGAAAGGGATGGGACATTTATGTGAATGTCCCAAGAACAGTATTGTCAGTTCTTGATTCATTCTTTTATATACATGTAGAACAAACAAAATGAAACATCTGTGTAGAACAAAATGAAATGTCTGTTACAACTTTCTGATTGGTGCCATTTATTTCATATGCAGATTTGAGTTCAGTTAAATGTGTCTCTGTTAACAGCTATGCAGTCCTACCAGCAGACAAAACGGCGGAAGAAACGGGTACTGCAAGCACAGATGTTTAAAAGTGTGACAGTGGTCAGAGGAAAGGGTGGCTATGGCTTCACAATCTCCGGACAGAACCCATGCATGCTGAGTTGCATAATTCCCAGCAGTCCGGCACATGCTGCAGGGCTCAAGGCAGGGGATCTGCTGTATTTTGTCAATGGTCTCAATGTTAGCAGAGCCAGTCATGATGATGTCGTGCGTATGGTAGGGCTCTCCACAGGCTCTTTAGACCTTCAGGTACATTTTAAAAACTCTTTTAGTGCTAGTAGATTTTGTTTTAAGTACTTAAGGAGATAACAGACACAGTGTAAAGTGGCTGAGTATATTAATTTCAAATAGAAAACGAATACTTGCTGTATGTCTAGCCAGATTTTCTTAGCATGGTCAAACCAAATGTAAAGCATATAATTACATACTGGTCATTGTTTGATACAGACTGTTTGTAGCTGATCACACATTGTATGTTTGTTTGGACAAAAAGAGGTAATTTTGTTACATTAAGATTGATATGGGCAAGCTAGACATGAATGATACAGATATTGAGGTGGATTATGGGAACAGGACGCCCTAGATCACATAGCATGGAAGGGTAACATCTGTAAGCAAGTAGGGACAAATACAAAAAGAATTATAGTTAAATAGCTGAGCATCCGAGAAGAAGCCTGCCAAATACATGTGATGACAGCAGTGGGGTTGAAATCTCATGCACTCATTCTTAATGCAGGTACGTCTTGCTAGTCACACCCACCTTCACCATGGGTTGTGACTCTCATGTCTCCGTACAGCACAAAGGGACACTATTGTCTGGAAATAAGGAAAAGTGCCAACATGTTAAGATTGATTAAAGTCTTCAGACTCCACATACGGTACAAGAAACTAAAATACCATCTTGTCATTAAGCTAAAGACAAGTGGAAGACACTGATGAAAATAACTGTGGAACTGGTCAAATCAAGGCTCCAAATTTGCTGCAAGTGTCTAATGTATGCAAACAAAAACTCTATAAACAGGTTATAGATGCTAGCTTCAGACCTCAGAAATGATATTGATGTCTGAGAAGGGTGGTTCAAGTGACAAGAAGAGAAAAAGTTCATGGCCAGACAATGCACCATGACCTTGAAACCCAGTGGATCAGTCACAAATACAATGTTTTGGACATGTGTGCAGAATCTGAGAGAATCAGCCACCTTGACAGGCATGGGAGGACAAGAACCAGGGAACTGGACAACCAGGCTGACCCAAGGTTCACTGTGAAGAAACCATCTGACAGTCCCTGACCGACAGAGGACTCAAATGAAACTAAGCTAACACACACAAAAACTGCTGATGGCGAAGTCTGGCAATCTCTCTGGCAAACATCAACACCTGAGGGTAGAAGAGGAGAGACTAAGTAAGTAAGTACAAACTCTGTAGAGGTATCAGCAAACTCAATCATAATGCAGTGGATGATGAGATTACGATGACTACTAATTTTATGCATGGTTCACCTGAGAATTTATGTCAATTTTTAAAATGCCCTGTCTAGATAAAGATTCAGATGATCTCCCCCCTGGCAGGCAAGCATGCTAGCCACCATAGAACAGTACTTCTTTGTAAGACAGTATCGGCTTCTAAGGGATCTACAAGGTACCTGGATCTTACTGTAAAGTGATTGAGGATTTCCAAACCTGCTTTCCATTTCCAGTTTGTCTGTCTGCAAACATGAGGCTAGTTCCCTGTAGGATTCTGTGGGCCTCTCAGACATTTGCCGAGTGCTTTGAGCTTAGATGTTAAGGAGCTGATGGAGGATTTCTATTTCGGTTGGTTCAAAAGGTGGGGGGAGAGGGGGGGTTCTATCTCTGTATACCTAATATGCTACAAGGCATGGGAGATGCCTAATATGCTACAAAGCATTAGAGAAGGCTCTATACTTAGTTCACTGTTACGGCTTACAAGCAAATTGAACACCTGAGACCTACTTCCTGGTGGAGAATGCTGAGCTTCGTAGTTAAATATTATGTTCATTCGTTGTTCGTTGCAAGTCTGTTTATAAACATTCCACATTATGTTCTCTACGATGAATTGGTTAAGCCATTTGCTTCATGCACTCAACACTGTTAGGTTACATCATTTGATTTATGAGGGTTGTTGTTAAAGAGGTCTGTGTGCTTGTTAGAGCTAAGAAGCTTGTGTTATATGTGATGCTTGTGGCTGGCAGCCAACTGCTGTCCAGACAGTGAAAATGAATCAAGAATTGATATAACAGAACTCAGGACTTTCCCATAAGTGCTCCATCTCTTTCCTCAGTAACCAAAGAAGAGTCACAAGCTAATAGTACCAGTTAAAATGTAATTAAAAGTCCGCCTATGTTCCCCCCTCCCCTCCCAGTGTTGAATATCTTCCAGAACCTCTGCACACCCGTCGCTGAATTAGTCTTTCAGTGTATGGAATGGATTCTCTATCTGTTCTATTGCACTGTCCATTTGATCCCAGAGAGCCTTTACCATGACTGCTTTATCATAAAGTATCTCACCACCTAGGGGAGGAGCAGCAGCCAAAATATCTGCCTACCTATTACCCCTGCACACCCAGAGAGTGAGAGATGGAATGAAGCCAATTTGTGACCTGTTGTCACTTTTTTTATTTTCTGTTCACAGAGGCTGCTATTCACTACAAATTTTCATTTATTCTGTTTCAGGTAGCAGAGAATTACAACAGCTCTGACTCGTCAGATGATGACTACCTGCCGCGAACTAAATCTCGTTATCCAAATCGAGTAAGGCCCCGCCAGAGTCTAGGGGAGAGAGGTACCAGTCATGACAAAGCCTCGTCCTCTTGGTCAACTGTTAAACAGAGCAGCTGTGAGAGTCTGAAGCAGTACCATCCCCCAGAAGAGGAATCTGACCTTTCATCCAGTTTGACATCCCAAGAAGATCAAGTCTGGCTGAACCCAGCGACGGTCGCATGGCGTGGGTTTTGTCAGAATAGACCAGAGACAACAGGTTTATGCGGTGAAGCTAAGAGGCAGAAAAATGAGATGGTTGGTGTAAACACGTGCAACAAGCCTGTCGTGTCCACAGCCAGGAAGATCTCATCAGCAGCAGCAGTGGTTAAACGAGTACCACCGGTCTGTGATTCCATAAAACATATTCAACAGGGTATCTTGAAACAGAAAATCAGTGAAAATGCCCAGAAAGACATTTTATCAAAGCTAGAACCATCTTCAGCTGCAGGCCAGGGAGACAGTGAAGTAATTGAGGGATGTAATAAATACTCTAAAGTGAATGAAAATGTGAAAGCTATTGTTGGCTACGTTGGGTCCATTGAAACACCAAATTCTCACAGACATCCACATCAGAGACTTCAAGCTCTGCGTAATGCAGTAAAGAGGTTACGATTGGAAAAGAAAGTTCACATATTGGTGCTGATGGAGGTGAAGCCATCAGGGGTGCTTCTGACAAATGCTATGGGAAAACAACTGGCTTTATACCCCAGCGACAGAATTGTCTTCAGTGGCATTTGTTCAGATGATGAGCGCTTCTTTGGCTTGGTGACGCAGAGTGTACCTGACCAGGATAATGATAGCTGCCAGGAAGGACGAGAATGTTCCAACTCAACATGTCATATTTTCAAGATTGACCCCGACATTAACGCTCACAGTGCACATATGCAGCATGCTCAAGCATTCCAGGTTAGTTGTATGAATCATTGTGCAGCATGCTCAAGCATTCCAGGTAAGTTGTGTGAATCATTGTGCAGCATGCTCAAGTATTCCAGGTAAGTTGTATGAATCATTGTGCAGCATGCTCAAGTATTCCAGGTAAGTTGTATGAATCGTTGTGCAGCATGCTCAAGCATTCCAGGTAAGTTGTATGAATCGTTGTGCAGCATGCTCAAGCATTCCGGGTAAGTTGTATGAATCATTGTGCAGCATGCTCAAGCATTCCAGGTAAGTTGTATGAATCGTTGTGCAGCATGCTCAAGCATTCCGGGTAAGTTGTATGAATCATTGTGCAGCATGCTCAAGCATTCCAGGTTAGTTGTATGAATCATTGTACAGCATGCTCAAGTATTCCAGGTAAGTTGTATGAATCATTGTGCAGCATGCTCAAGCATTCCAGGTAAGTTGTATGAATCGTTGTACAGCATGCTCAAGCATTCCAGGTAAGTTGTATGAATCGTTGTGCAGCATGCTCAAGCCTTCCAGGTAAGTTGTATGAATCATTGTGCAGCATGCTCAAGCATTCCAGGTAAGTTGTATGAATCATTGTGCAGCATGCTCAAGCCTTCCAGGTAAGTTGTATGAATCGTTGTGCAGCATGCTCAAGCATTCCAGGTTAGTTGTATGAATCGTTGTGCAGCATGCTCAAGCATTCCAGGTTAGTTGTATGAATCATTGTGCAGCATGCTCAAGCATTCCAGGTAAGTTGTATGAATCGTTGTGCAGCATGCTCAAGCCTTCCAGGTAAGTTGTATGAATCGTTGTGCAGCTCCTCTGTGACTTAGTTAGTTAGTTAGTTAATCAATAGACCAGTCCATAAGCACTTGGATCCCATATTCACTATATCCATCAGCTTGTGGCATCTGATAACACCAGCTCTGTGTTGGTTTACTATTCTTCTTTGGCTGCCTGTTCAGTTTTCATGTCTGGTGACACCTCTTTTGATGTGGAGTTCTTGTCATCTTTTAAATGTTGCCGACTTGCCACCTTCTCCTGAATCATCCACTCGTCTTGTCTTCTTGAGTACATTTAGAATTAAGGGTCAGGTCCATTGATTGATTCCTGCCCATGGGTTTCAGGGCCTAATTTCTTTAGAGAAAGAAAGAATTGACCCAGAATTGACCCAGAATTGACCCACTGCTCCTCAACAAGCATGTCGTCAAAGTTGACTAATTCATGATTTACTGAAATCAGATGTGCTGCACCAAAAGGGGCAGATATCACAGCCTAGCTGTAAACCACAACACAAGTTGCCAACCGCGCTTTTAAGGGTGAATGCAGAAAAAGAATAAGTTATATAGCTGTTGAATCTACATCATTCTTTACCAGGCACCTGAACTTGTTCAACTTTGGCTATGTTAGGTTACTTGACAATTGCTTTTCTTCAGTATTCCTAATACTTGAGGTTCATTGCTGCAGATATCACCCACCTTCATTCATCTCTCTGGTTGGCCTTCTCTTTCCATTTGGTGGTACCAATTGTTTGTCGGTCTTTCTTGATAATATCTTCCATTGTCTTTTTAGTCTGCCTTGTGGTCCATTCATCTCCCTTAACAATGCTTATATGAAACATATTTTGGTTTAGCTGCTTGTTTGGGAATCCTTTAGACAGACAAGTTTTGTGGCTGTTTAGGTTCGTTGCATGTGATTTAGATTGTTCAAGCTCTCATATTATCTATTTGAGTTTAGAATCGACATTCTAGCACTCGGGACACTCCCATAAGTGCTTCCTCCCCATTTTTAGTGCAGAGTTCCAGTTTTGATGACACCACTAGCATTCTGAATACATGTCCGCCTTGCTTGCCTCTAAATGTTGAGTATCAGCTTCATCATCTGGTCACTCACCGATGCACCATTCCTTTCAGACTGACTTTGTTTGTGCTTCTGCACTGTTCACTCACTGCCAGAGGACATTGATGACATGTTTGTGCTTCTGCACTGTTCACTCACTGCCAAAGGACATTGATGACATGTTTGTGCTTCTGCACTGTTCACTCACTGCCAAAGGACATTGATGACATGTTTGTGCTTCTGCACTGTTCACTCACTGCCAGAGGACATTGATGACATGTTTGTGCTTCTGCACTGTTCACGCACTGCCAGAGGACATTGATGACATGTTTGTGCTTCTGCACTGTTCACTCACTGCCAGAGGACATTGATGACATGTTTGTGCTTCTGCACTGTTCACTCACTGCCAGAGGACATTGATGACATGTTTGTGCTTCTGCACTGTTCACTCACTGCCAGAGGACATTGATGACATGTTTGTGCTTCTGCACTGTTCACTCACTGCCAGAGGACATTGATGACATGTTTGTGCTTCTGCACTGTTCACTCACTGCCAGAGGACATTAATGACATGTTTGTGCTTCTGCACTGTTCACTCACTGCCAGAGGACATTGATGACATGTTTGTGCTTCTGCACTGTTCACTCACTGCCAGAGGACATTGATGACATGTTTGTGCTTCTGCACTGTTCACTCACTGCCAGGGGACATTGATGACATGTTTGTGCTTCTGCACTGTTCACTCACTGCCAGAGGACATTGATGGCATCTAGCTTGTCATGCATCAGTTTACCACCATGTGGTGCAGCACCTGCACATCTGTACGTAGGTTCCCAACACACCTGATTACCTTTAGGAAATATCCAAAGGGCGCTAACTGCCTGAGAGATCTGAAATGTTTGCCATTCTGCGTAGAGCATGCCTGTCTTCACTTTTCTCAACATGCTTTATGAGTCTGTTACAATCATTGCATGTGTGTGTAGCTGGTTCTCATGCCAGAGTATGGCTGCAGTGACTGCTTCAGCTTCTGTCCTCAAATTAAATGTTGGGGTATTATCAGTTATCTGTGAGTGTGGGGACTTCTCCTTGCTGCTGCCAAATCACCATTCCCGCAGAGGCTATGTTGCAGAAGTGTTCTTTCCCTCTCCAAGCCCAGAAACCAGTAGATTTTGCAGACTGAGTTGCTAGACTCATGACCAGAGCTCAGATGATTCATGTCTCCCAGATATGATAATATGGAGTTTTCCCAGCATGTGGAGACTACTCTGTAGCCACAAGAACCAGGCTTAAGCTTTCACAGACTGTGACTAGAATGAGTTCACAGCTTACAGAAGTCCCACCTCAAAAAAACTATCTTACCTGAACACACAGAAAGGAAATGAAAGAGCTGGCAGTGTATGCAGAAGTATGGACAGGGCAGACGTACTGAATGCACTGCGTTTCAGAGGCATTGAGACATGGAATCATAGGCAGTGAATCACCTTTTGGAAATGGGTGTCAGACGAAGACAAGCATGCAGAAGCCGGTTGTGGGACAAAGAAAACATGTAGGTCAGTCGACTCTTACTGGGAATGATGAGCATGGAGATATTGGGATGGTTCCTCCATCACAGGACGGAGCTCGATCGGGTCGGAAGGATATGCTAGGATGTCAGTACAGACAACAAGTAGCAAGTAACAAGGCTTGAGCTATGTGTCAGATCTTCTGCTTACTTTCTATGCTCAGAATACATTTCTTTCAGACTAAAGTCAATAATTAAATTATAAACATAATAAGATAAGGTAATTTGTATTCTGTCTTATTTTTGGAAACAGGTTTCTTGTGGGACCAGTCCTCAGTCCAGACAGTGCACTCTTTTTCCAAGGTCGGCAACATCGCTGGCTTTTTGTATTGCCAGTTTGTACCGTGGCAAACCTTCGAGGAAGTTTGACAGTGATATTGTTCAGTCCCAAGCATTTGCAGACCCAGGTAGAGAGTTGGAGCATTGCAACAGCCAGGGATCTGGCAATGATGAGTTGCCTCTGGAGCAGAATGAACAGGTATGATGATGGTGGTTACACCTAATTGTCATTGTTTTCACATTGCATCACTGTATTTGTGTGTGTATTTTCTTTTCTACTTTAGATTAAACATCTTCCCTGTGGCTACATACGGATGTGAGTTGTAGACTATCTCTCAGTCCTTAAGAAAGAGAATAGGGGTTTTTGAGCTGAAATGCTGAAGGAAGATTGGCTAATAAACAGCATCCTTTCTCGAAAGCTGAAATATTTTGGTCATATCAAGCTCCACGACGGATTTGAAAAAAAATTATAGCAGAAGGCATGGTACCAGGAAGGAGGGGCAGGGGCCGACCGACACGAAGATGGGCACAGGATATAAGTGACTCCTTGAGTGTGAAAGTGCATGAGGTGGGAGAACTGGCGAGAGACCGAGTTTCTGTCAGGCAGACTATGATGAGAGCGACATTCTGCAAAGGACCTGCTACATGATGATGATGACTTTAGATTAAAGTATAAGATCATAAGTTTGAACTTCCCCGTGTGGAATAGACCCACTGCCTCCCAAACCAGCATGGCGTAGAAGACAACTAATTTGAAGTCGGAGTACATCTGCCTGAGAGGCATGCTGTCTGCAATACAAATAAACCAGATCTGTGAAACGGATGTGCACGCCACACTCAGGTCCTGGAGCAGTACTGTCTGGAGGTGGATCAACACCTAGAGCTTTCCACCGGAGTTTACAGCCAGTGAATGTAAAAAAGAAAAAGAATAAGGTTGAACCCATTCTATACCAAGCCGTTTACTATATGTTCATGTATTCCTCCTTATATATTCATAAAACATCTCTTCTTCTTCTTCCCTCTCCTTATTCCTCTTCTCCTTTGCCTTCTTCTGATCCTTTTATTTTTTCATCACTAAATTGATACCGCTTTCCATTACAGACTTTGTTATTTTGAATAGACCAACTCTGTGCAAGAATTCACTTGGTGTCTTCAGTCCATTATAATTACTTTGTAACCTGTAATAGGGGTGGGTATATAGTGATGGTGGTAGTCCCATATTTGTAGATCATTGGCCCTGTCTGATGTTGTCATCAATATCACAGCAACCGTGTTTACTTCTCAGAAAAGTTTTCTAATATATATAATACTTAACAGTTCTCATTCATAATGAATTGGTAATATTCTCCTATTGTCTGTTATTCCATGTCTAAAATAGGACAAGCTTGGTGCTTGTTCTGCTTTTTGTCCATTTGCTGTGATATCTGCTATAGTTCCCAATTATGTGAACATATCATCCATGCTGTGATCAAGTTGCTTCCCCTCTTTCATATACTTCAGTTGTATTTGAGTTACCTGCCCTTGCTATGAGAGAACCTCGTTTGTTGGTTTAATTCTCATTGATTAAACCGGCTCTTTTTGTTTCGTTTCCTCATTACCGAGAACAGGTGCGCAGGGTGGAAAGAAAGCAGTAAATTACACAACATGTGTCTACCTCTGTTGATTATTAATTTATGACAAGAAGTGTTTTGAGTCTTCAGGCTAAGGTTTTATAAAATTACATTTGATAAACTGAAATGATGGTAGCACAGATAGCATGTGCTCCTAGTTCCTCATTTCCCAGAGCTGTCTTTCACTGGGGTTTAGGTGGCGTGTAATAGATTTCTTATCCCTAGTAGACTAGAGGTTTCTCGTCTGTAGTCTGTCATAGAGAGGTAGATGGGGCACAGAGTCGGTTGTTGTGAGATTGCATAGAAAACTGAACAGCTTGTAAGTAGACATAATATTTATTATCGTCTAAAATGTGTCATCATAATATGCCATTGGACAAGCGATAATGTCCCTCCACACACATCTGCCTTGTGTGTTCTAGCTAAGTTTTACTGCTGATCATAATCCATGACATTGGACAAGCAATAGTGTCCCTCCACACACATCTGCCTTGTGTGTTCTAGCTAAGTTTTACTGCTGATCATAATCCATGACATTGGACAAGCAATAGTGTCCCTCCACACACATCTGCCTTGTGTGTTCTAGCTAAGTTTTACTGCTGATCATAATCCATGCCATTCTGTCAACCAAAACAGTATTTTCTTCATTGGTCAATTCCTGCTTTGTACTACATCCTCACCCTCAGTTTTCTTTGTGGCAACTGTCTCCAGATTCCTTCAAGTGAAAACATGGCTACAACAAACGTTTGTCTTCTACATCTGCAGTCACAACTGCTGTGTGAAAGGCAGGTGTTTCGAAGGGCCGAATGTAAGACGGACATGTGTGCTCACTTTGTGACTCTTTGAAAATAAAGTTTACTTGTTCATTCATCCAAGGACGTGTATGCATTGTACCCATCTCCAGTACAGCACGGCTGCAATATTTTCATCTTTCAGTCAACACATCCATCTTTTTTCAGGCATTTGTGGCTCTGATTTAGCCTACCTATAGATGAAGTAAAATGCCCTCTTAGCTGGTTGAGTAGCAGATTTAACATGAGATACCCATCTTTATTCATTACCACTAGGAAAATCGGTAACGACTTGGCGTGAGTTGGTTGAGGGCCTATGCTCCATTGGGGGATAGAAAGGCAGAAGAAGAAGACTATAAAAATCTATCAACATATTACTTTTAGAGAAGCTGAATAGTAAGGAAGCTAAATTTGTTGAGTATGTAGTGATCAAATGTATACATTATGAGAATACATTTACTGTTGGGTAGGATTAACAGTTGAGCTAAGCACACATCACATTTTGTTTGAGACTGGCAGTGTTCAAGATCTGAATACAATTATGGAACTTTAAATGTAAGTTTTAATGGAAAGGTTTTCAGTTCCGAGAATCACCAGACAGACACTGAACAGGGAAATAAAGGGGTTGAGTAAACAAGGCTGTCCAAGAGAAACCCCAAAGCAAACGCTGATGAGAGGACAATGGATGAGCAGACTGCGAGCCCTATGTGACATAAAATAACACAGCAGGACAATGATCATGATGATGATGATGATAGAGAGTAGAGGCCAAGGATAGTCATGCTAGCCCATAGCTGTCTGCAAAGGCACTTAAAAAGAAACTATCTCATTAATGATAATTGATCTGTTATCGGTGGTTAATGAGGGAAGGGTGTAATTTGTCTGTCAATCACTGATTCCAGGTTTGTGTGGTAGATATGACAAGTGGGAGGGACCTTTCGGACACCAGTGTTTTATCCAATGCCATGAACACAAGCCTGATTTCTATGCAGAATCATCTGTCACCTGAGATGGATGTGGGTGGAGCTGGAGGCACATCCTCACCATGTAAGTGGCAGTTCTAGATATATAGTAAAACTTTGCTCTACTGTGACTTGTTTAACCATCAGTTTCTCTTATCCATCATCGTCTAAATACAAATTAAAAGAAAATTGGTGGAACAAACTCTTGCCTGAACCTATTGATGACAGAAAAGAACTGAGACTGTTATTGTTGATACAATTGTGCAGCGGTGTTGGACTAAACAGTGAAAGCATTAGGCCACAACAAGTAATTGATTGGTTGGAATGTGACAGAATGGATGCCGGCTTTATTATTGTGAACAATGATGAATTGTTTCTAGTGTGACTACCATTGAAGAAGAAGAAATTGATGATGATAAAGGATCAGTTCTCAACCCAAAACCTACACCGAGCCACTCAGAGGCAGACACAATGTTATAAAATCTATTGACTGGTTTGAAATGCAAACAGATCCTACTTCTGCCTAAGATAGGAACATCGCTGAGCAAAAAGCTAGAGCCCCAAAGACACAGAAGGAGATGACAGATTATTGTAAAGTTACATAGGTTATGCTATTATAAAAAACATTTCTGTACATGACTACTGTTATAACTGGCACAGACGGGTCCAGAAATAAAGGAAGACCATAACACACATGGAGAAGGGAGCTAGAAAATTTCAAGTTAAAAAGATGGGGTTGACATGGGGAGAACTGCATGCGATAGTGAAGGATAGAACAACTTGGCATGACTTGGTTCAGGGTCTATGCTTCTTTGCCGGTTAGAAAGGCAGAAGAATAAGACTACTCTAATACTGAAGTTTATGTTTGGATTATTTTTGAAAATTAAATACTATATATTGTTCACTTTTAAAGGATTTTATTGTAATAACTAACAACGATTGTTTAAAAGAAGCTAATGAAAGTTGATCTCTATATACAACAAAAAGAAGGACACAAACACTATTGTTTAGCCACGTAATGAAAAGAGAGGCATTGGAAAACATGGTAACAACTGGAAAGATCAGTGAAAAGAGAAGTAGAGGCAGACCAATAGAGATGATATAGATGGGCTGAAACTATGGCATGGAGATATACAAGCAACAGAGCTGTTCCAGGCAACCAAGTACCGAGATCTGTGGAGATGAATGCGCGCCTTTGCCAACTGGCAAGGCACATGATGATGATTGTAATTTTCATCTCAAGCCTACAGTAAAATCACATTATATGTATTAAAAGATTTCTGTTATCCGTCTATTCAGTTATCAGTCACAGCTCTGGTCCGGATGGTGACAGTTAAAAGAAGTTTTACTGTATTTATAAAACAGAGTTTGTCTTCTAAAGAAAGAGACAATCTACATTCTTTTAGCCTGTTATGAGAAGGAAACAAAACTTTAAGTACATTGTGACCGTAGGAAAGCTGGAGAGAAAGCGAGGTAGAGGGACACCAAGAGAGAAGATGCTGACAGTTTTGACAGCATCGCAGGAAGGATCGTCTGTGTGAGAGATTGAAAGTATATGGGACAGAAGGTTGTGGAAAGACATGGCCCCACACAGCATAGACTTTGAGGAGCAGAAGAATTGAAAAAGAAAAACAAAACTATTTTTAAAAAGTATTAAAATAATAAAAGACCTTTTTCATGCCTTTGACACCTTGGAAATATAGCTATATTAAACAAATCAGCACTGAAGAGGAATGTGGTCAGCATTGTGCCTGCCACCTTTACTTCCCAGGACATTACTGTTCTATTTCAGTGGTAATTTTAGGCTTGATTGACCTGGAAGCCAAGGTCAGTTAAATAAAAATCCATCTACCTTGTTGTGGATTTGAACCCAAGACCTTTTGGATGGCAAGTGAGTGTTTAGCCACTCCGCTGCCAGTGTTCTCAGTGATTCATAGCATTTCTAGCATTCTGTCAGAAATCTGAAGGTCTCTTTTTGGTCGGTATTGTGTATTGATGACCCTGGACACCGCAGTAGTACTGAGATCTGCCAGAAATCTGAAGGTCTCTTTTTGGTCTGTATTATGTATTGATAACCCTAGACATCGCAGTAGTACTGAGATCTGCCAGAAATCTGAAGGTCTCTTTTTGGTCTGTATTGTGTATTGATAACCCTAGACATCGCAGTAGTACTGAGATCTGCCAGAAGAAATCTGCTCTCTTTTTGGTCTGTATTTGGGTACTAATGTCCCTTAAAAGAGTAATATTACTGGGATTTGTGCAAGTCTGACTGACAATATCTCTGCTTGTTTTCAGGCCTGAGTTATTCTAACAGTAGTGAAGAATGTTGGCAGCAGGTGCTCAAGCCTAACAATAAGTTAACCCCACAAGCCATGCCCAGCCCTGCCTGTGTGGAGGTCTGCAAGGCCAGCTGCTCACAGTTTGGATCAGCAGTCAAAGATGCAGAAAACCTTAAGCAGAACATGCAGCGCTTCCTCCAGGCACGACACCAGCTACTTGAAGAACAGAACCGCATGCTGGGAAGTGACGGGGAATCTTACTTTGGTGAAAATGTGTTGTCGCTCTCTGTATCGGAGGATGGTCATGCTGTATTAGAAAGAGGTGGTGATGGATGTTGGCAGCCCAAGAATGCATTTGCAGTGCCGAAGAATCCACCACCAGTTTCGGTTCATCACATGAGAGGCAGATCAGCATTTCACGCACTCAGACCTTCATCTGCTCCTTTGGGAAAACACAGCAAGCCAGAAACTGTTGAACTTGATGCCGTTAGGAAGCTCAACTTTCCTCACAACATCCCATCCTCCTTTGCCTTTGCCCGCTCTCCATCTGCCCCGCCTGCACCATTCTTTCCTCACAGGGATTCTGATGAGGAGGAAGATGATGTGAGCGACAATGAGAACGACCCCTATATTCATCAGATCTTGGAACAGTTTGACAAAGATCGCATGGCAGCAATGAATGACGACAGTCGCAGGTTCTCAGATGGATTTGCTATACCTAAGAGGGTAAGGATTTAATCTCTTGATAACACAAATGATCCTTTACAGGATATGACAGAACCAAGTCCAACATGTTTGGCTGTTTGTGGTTTTTCTAGGCAATTTAATCTTCACTAGTTTGCCATTGCTTCCTGAATGGTCAGCTTTCAATACCAGTGTTGAAAATAATGCAAGACAGTCTGTTGTATCACAAGCAAGACACTGTAAGTTGTATCATCATGGGCCTTGTCAGATAGCATGGGTGTCCTCGTCTCTGCACAGAACTTGCTCCTTGTTGTTCTGGTTCAGTTCTCTTGATGATTGGGTTTAGGTTTAAACGATGGATCAACATCATGACGCAAAGGTAGTAACTTATAAGTTCTCTGTTAAGTGCTCTGTTCTACTTCCCACTCAAATCTTGAGTCTGAAGATTCTCAGCACAGTGCACCAACTCTGTAGCACCAACGAGGATCCTGAAATAATTTGGGTACTTTATAAACTCCATATTTCGCCAGGAATTTTTTACATGTGCAACAATACACGAAACGTCCAATCTTACTACCCAGATACCAAGGGAAATTACTAGAAATCCAGGTGAAAAAATCCCAGCCTTCACCGTGGCCTGAACCCCGTACCTCCAGCACTTGAGGCGGACACCAAGCCTCGAGACCACACAGCCCCCTTGACAACACCATCCTAGACCATTTAGCATAATTTCTTCTAGTCTGCCTTTTAAAATCATTAAATTAATCAAGGCAACATATGAGGACAAGAAATACGGTATTGAGCAGTGGGGGGTGGGGGCTTTTTTTTTTAAACGTGTTCTGTGTTGGCCCTTAAATTGGCAGGTTATGGTTGATATCTAGGCTGTGATATGTGTGCCTTTCACCCTAACACATCCAAATTCAGCAGATGCAGATCCTTTATTAGTCACCTTGTACAGCAGGGCTGTTCAACCAAGTTTACCCAGGAGCCACAATTTTTTTTTTAACGGGGAATGCCCCGGGGCAAAAGCCCAAGCACCAGCATAGAAAGATCATTAATACAATACAGCTGGCAGTGATCCGCAAGCCACTTTCCAGATTTGGCTCACTGGTCGCCAGTTGAAAAGCCCTGTTGTACATCATGAATGTTAAGGAACAGTAGGTCCATTCTTTTCCTAAACAAAATGAAATCCCTAAACCCATAAAGGAAGACACAAGCCAACCCCATTAAAAAAAAACAAACAAACTAAATATGGAGTTTGGCAGGAATGCCTTTTATCACCTTTATTATTCTTACTGACTATAGAGAGGATCACAAAGGCAACAGGAGCTACTACCAGAATTAGAGTTTTTGTTGGCACTGACAGAGCAGCTTGATGAACTGAACTTCATTGATATCATTACCTTTCTGTCCCACATAAGTAATCAGATGTAAGATACACTAAACACACTTAATTCAAGGTCACAACAAGTTGGTCTAAAGATTCATGGAGGAAAGACAAAGTGAATCAATATAGCTGGTGATAACAGGATCCCTTTTGGTGAAACCTGATTTCAAGAGGTGGTTTCATACACATATTTAGGCACCAGTTTTTACAACTTTAGGACAACGGAGACCTAAAATATGAAAACATAAATGTTAAATTTGTGAAAGTCAAAAGTGTATAAATCTAGAACATACTTGAAAAATAATTTCTAACTTTGAATCAGTACTGCTGTATGCATCAGAAACATAGAGAATTACTAAAATAGTTACAGTAAATTACAAATATTTATTACCTGTGGTTTGCGTAGAGTTGAAAGACTTAATTGATATAAGGTAATTGTTAATATTGAGCTCATAGAGAGATTAATCAAGAGATGAGGTGAAGTTGGTGGAATTGAGAAAACCTGTTAATTACATAACTAGAAAGTCTTTCCTTTGGAATTCACAGGGCAGAAGAAATAGAGGAAAACTTGAAAATACATGGAGAAGAGAATTGAAATAGTTGAAAATGTGGACATCATAGATGTTGCTGTAAGAGACAGTGCAGAATAAAAGGGTTGGCGGTTTGTGGAGGGCCTGTTTTCCTACAGATGGGTGACCAGTTACTCTCTGACAATCATTAAAGAATACTGCAGAGATAAGGAGTGTAAAAAGAAAAAAAAATCAGAGTAGGATATCACTGTTAAAGATATACAAATATAGAATAATAATGTTTGGCTTCAGTGTTATGTTCTGTAGTTCCTGACCTCACCCAATAAATAATGTTTGTGTCTTCATTTGCTACCACAGAAAGATGCGGTTGCTTCAGCAAGTGTGGAAAAATGGACCAAGACAGGATCATTCAGGAGGGGTGACAAAGTATCCTTGAAGCAGTCTTTCTGCCACTCAATGGAGGTGAGTACTGAGGGTGAATGAACTAACAAACTTTATTTCCAAAGGATTGCAAATTGTGTACGCAGGCCCGACTTACATTCGGTCCCTTTGGACACTCATCATTCACACAAAAGTTGTATTTTATATATCAAGCATGTTATGTTCATATATTGAAATTCATAGTATGAATGTGAAATAAGAATACAAAAGTTCATGAGAGAGTAACAGAGAGAAAGATGTGGGATGGAAGGAGGGGACAGACAGAAAGATGGGTGGAAACTGTGTTGTTGCCCTCCATGTGAGCACATGGATGCTCTAACTTCATGAATGTTCAAGAGTTAGCCATAAATGTTTCTGGTTAACTTTCCATTATCTTTCCTCTGTATATGCATTAACCATTTCCCCTTGGTAACCTTTTTAAGAAAAAAAAAAAAGCTTAGAACATGGGAATCTCTTAAAAAAAAAAAACTCAGGTCACCAACACATTTTAACTCTTTCACCCTGGGAGGCCACAAACTCAGCACTTCATGTAGGCTCCAACTCCCAGAGTCTTATTACCCAGAATTTCTGCAATGATGTGTCTGCAAGACACCTAATGAATAACATCTGTTGTTTTGGCACCTTCACAGCTTTTATGAGGCCAGGCTATGAATAATATATTTACAAAAAATAACATTTAGACAGAATTTGTGTGTGAACAAATAGCTGTTTTAACGCTGTGATAGCATCAAATATTTCCATAACCCCAGTGATAGAGGTCAGATGGTCACGACATGACTCACCTGATACATATTGTTTTAGCCCTCCCCCCCCCCCCCCCCCACCCGGTGAAAGAATTCCCCCCCCCCCCCCTCCCCCCCCCCCCCCCCCCTTCACTCTGTTCATGTTTGTTGATTACTCCCTTTATCTTTATATATTTTGAGAATTTAAAAACAAAATGTAAATACATTTTAAAGAATGTATTAGTGACAGGTTTAAAAGGACTTTGTGATCCTTTCACATTCCTATCTCAACCAGAGGGTGTGTGCTGTTTTGTTGGGTTGAGAAACCACTTGTGCGTTTATGATGTGGTATGTGTAGCACTTGTCAATTTTAGCACTGCTGTCTAAAAACTACTTTCTAGTTGATAGACTAAATTCTTTGGTACAGATAGAAAAAAAAGTAGTTGTGTAATCAGTTGGCCACATTATTGCGTATGCTATAAGTATTCATACAGTTTCAACATCTTTTGGCAAGAGTGCACAGCTGACCGTGTCTTGAGTTCTGTGAGTGTTTGCAGAAAAGCACTTTGACAAAAAATTGTTTACAAAATATGGGTAGATGAAATTAAAGATGAGTTGATAATAAATATATGTAGAAAGCTGAACAAGTGAAAACACATTTCAACAAAAGTCTGTTAGTGAAGAAAACAACATTTTGAGAATCCACATCACTCGCCAGAATGACAGACTTGGGAATTGAGATCGGCATAGCAAAAAACGAGACGCACACCAGACACGCCAAAAGATTTGTTAATCAACATAGAACTCATACTGTTAGCCATCCGGATGTTGCGGTTCATACTGAGGGGAGAATCTGAGCACCCATGGACATGTCTAGAGTGCAATGATGATAACCCAACTAACTAACTAACTAACTAACTAACTAACTAACTAACTAACAACATTTTGAGCTAGAAAACTTAAATATCAGTTACAATTAAATAAACCACGTGTCTGAAAAATGTATACAAATGAAACCATAAGCGTGAGGAAGGATCGTTGTGATCAGATATGTGGATGGCATACTTTGCCCTTGTAATCTTTAGTTTTGTCATTTTATGGCTAAGCATTTGTCTTTTTCTTTGTTGATAAAGGCTTGTAAAAAAAAATCAAAATAGAAATGCTGTTATAAAATCTAGAACAGCTATTTTGATCTTTTAGTCAGAGAGATCTCTGCAGTATCAGTTTGAGGATAGGGTGGGAAGTATGAATGACAGCTACAGTTTCACATGCATCATCATCATCTATCATCCAGCTTGTGTATAGAACAACAAAATGTGTCTGGGAACTGATATCCGCAGTTTAAGAATGTGTTGTTTATCTCTCTAGATGAATATTTTCAACAATATGAAATATCAGCTTCTGGATAGAGTCTGTTCATTGCTTTTCCTATGACTGTCGTGGCTGTGTCAGCAAGCCAGTCTGCTCGTTCATTCCCATCCCCTTCCTCATGGAGAGTGTGGAAGGTTGCCATATTTCATGAAACCGAGTTATCATCATCATGGGATTGATGGACAGGAACTTAGGCTGATCAAGAACATATACTGGAAACAAAATGCGCCTATTATTGTTATTGTTATTGATCCAGTGCCGCATGAACTTTCACCCTTTGGCCCAATGCCATGTAGTGGAATTTACATGCTTTCACAAGCTGTTCTTTTTCTCTGTACAAGGAGTTCCACCTGTCTGGTCTCGGAGGGAGTAGCATTCTTCAAGTCTCGTTGAGTTTTGGGCACTCAAAGAGATGATGGTCAACAGTTTCGTAGGGGTAGTTGCATAGCTGGCACTCTGGGGAGTGTTGTGGCTGTATTCTGTTTAGGTGTCCATTTAGTGGAGTATGTTGTGTTCTGAGTCTGAAGATAGTGGCCTGGTCCCTTCTTGTTAAATGGTTAATGTTGTCGTTAGGATCAGGGCTAGCCATGTGTCTATAAACCTCTCTTCCAGTATCTCCCATAAAAACAAAATGCGGCCATAAGAATTTATAAAGAAGTATGTTTGTACCAAACAGTCAAGGGAGATGTGCAACAGGGATGTCTAATGTCTCCAGATCTGTTTCCCTTATATAGTGAACTATTATGCGACATCTGAAAGACCTGAAGGGAATTAACATGAGAGGTTGTAACATCAATAAAATAAGATATACAAATGATGCGGTGTTAGTTGCAGACTATACAGTGTTGTTTACATACAATGATGATCTGCAGTGCTTGATCGGTGCAGTAATAGCAGTGAGAAACTAGGCTTAAGAGTTAAATTATAAGATAATGAAAGTTATCATCACCACAAAGAAAGAAATAGCAAAGTGTGAAATACAGACAAACTGACAATTCTTAAGCAAGTTAATAGATACAACTGTTTAGGAACAGTCATAATATATGATGCAAGAGATGCCTTGCAGAAAGTAGAAAAAGAATCGCCTTGGCAAAGGTGGATTTAAGGGACCCAGTGCATGCCTCCAGGTGTATTGTGTAAATGGCTCGTTCGTTTGGGAGTAGGGAGGAAATGGTGGTCTCGTCCATCGTTCATATTTTTTGCGAAATGTTCTTTGTTATTCCATTTCTTTGCTGTCCTGTTGTTTGCTGGTATAGAGTACTAGCTCCATGTTTGTATAAACCTGTAGACCACGGTTGGCTGACAGGGTCAACGTCTGTCTGATGTCGTGTCCTGTTGTTTGCTGGTATAGAGTACTAGCTCCATGTTTGTATAGACCTGTAGACCACGGTTGGCTGACAGGGTCAACGTCTGTCTGATGTCGTGTCCTGTTGTTTGCTGGTATAGAGTACATACAACTCCATGTTTGTATAGACCTGTAGACCACGGTTGGCTGACAGGGTCAACGTCTGTTTGATGTCGTGTCCTGTTGTTTGCTGGTATAGAGTACTAGCTCCATGTTTGTATAGACCTGTAGACCACGGTTGGCTGACAGGGTCAACGTCTGTCTGATGTCGTGTCCTGTTGTTTGCTGGTATAGAGTACAACTCCATGTTTGTATAGACCTGTAGACCACGGTTGGCTGACAGGGTCAACGTCTGTCTGATGTCGTGTCCTGTTGTTTGCTGGTATAGAGTACAACTCCATGTTTGTATAGACCTGTAGACCACGGTTGGCTGACAGGGTCAACGTCTGTCTGATGTCGTGTCCTGTTGTTTGCTGGTATAGAGTACAACTCCATGTTTGTATAGACCTGTAGACCACGGTTGGCTGACAGGGTCAACGTCTGTCTGATGTCGTGTCCTGTTGTTTGCTGGTATAGAGTACAACTCCATGTTTGTATAGACCTGTAGACCACGGTTGGCTGACAGGGTCAACGTCTGTTTGATGTCGTGTCCTGTTGTTTGCTGGTATAGAGTACAACTCCATGTTTGTATAGACCTGTAGACCACGGTTGGCTGACAGGGTCAACGTCTGTTTGATGTCGTGTCCTGTTGTTTGCTGGTATAGAGTACAACTCCATGTTTGTATAGACCTGTAGACCACGGTTGGCTGACAGGGTCAACGTCTGTCTGATGTCGTGTCCTGTTGTTTGCTGGTATAGAGTACAACTCCATGTTTGTATAGACCTGTAGACCACGGTTGGCTGACAGGGTCAACGTCTGTCTGATGTCGTGTCCTGTTGTTTGCTGGTATAGAGTACAACTCCATGTTTGTATAGACCTGTAGACCACGGTTGGCTGACAGGGTCAACGTCTGTCTGATGTCGTGTCCTGTTGTTTGCTGGTATAGAGTACAACTCCATGTTTGTATAGACCTGTAGACCACGGTTGGCTGACAGGGTCAACGTCTGTCTGATGTCGTGTCCTGTTGTTTGCTGGTATAGAGTACAACTCCATGTTTGTATAGACCTGTAGACCACGGTTGGCTGACAGGGTCAACGTCTGTCTGATGTCGTGTCCTGTTGTTTGCTGGTATAGAGTACAACTCCATGTTTGTATAGACCTGTAGACCACGGTTGGCTGACAGGGTCAACGTCTGTCTGATGTCGTGTCCTGTTGTTTGCTGGTATAGAGTACAACTCCATGTTTGTATAGACCTGTAGACCACGGTTGGCTGACAGGGTCAACGTCTGTCTGATGTCGTGTCCTGTTGTTTGCTGGTATAGAGTACAACTCCATGTTTGTATAGACCTGTAGACCACGGTTGGCTGACAGGGTCAACGTCTGTTTGATGTCGCGATGCTTCCTTTAGGCTGCATCGAAATCAGAACATTACGACCTGGAGCAAGATTCGGAGACTGACCGCTACCACGGTCAGTTCAAAATC